GACGGTCAAGTCCAGCTTCGCCACCCAGAACCCTACACAGACTGTGGCATGAAGTACTTTGCCTTGGGACAACATCTTTTTCCCATCGGCTAACTCAAGTAGACACTTATCATGCACATAGTGGAGACCAACTCTAATCACGGCACTTGGGCTGATAAAACTTCTTGATGCACCACTGTCCACCAAAGGCCGTGCATCCTTGCCAAAAATTCGACTGTTCATTATTAATAAAATCCCATCATCGATTGTCATACTATTGGTACAATCACATGGGGCAGCGTTCTGCTGCACAGCAACCCACATGTTTCTATCCAACATGTTTTTCACTGGATCAATTTTCCCATGTTCACAACCCACTTTGCATAGGGTAGCAATACTGCGCCAATCCTGCACAACGGTGGGTGCGATCTGAGCTGGCATGGTTCCGCTACCATGGTTCACCTATGCCGCTAGTTGCTCGACTGCTTGCCGGCATTCCTCTGACCTCCTGCGAGCTGCCACCTGATGTCGATGTTAATTTTGTCTGTTTGATTGGTGGCGCTGTTTGGACGGATATCCCCTGACTATTCGTCCTGTTTCCTCTGCGCATGAGGCGCCCTCAGCTATCTGCTTGGCTCTTTGTAGTTGTCACCGATCTCGTCATCTCTGCATATGACTCTTGCTTTGGTCAAATTTCTTAGACGCTCCTGAAATTAAAACAGTAGATGTCCCAGCATTGGTAGACTTTCCCGAAAAGCCTTGACGTCCAAAATCCTCTTTTTGTTTTGCTTTAGATTTTCTCCGATTTTTGATCTACTCATAGTCCCGCAAATCGGGAGTCGCCCAGCCCTCGTCACATGGGGCCCGAGATGGGGCTCTACACATTTCCCTGGGAGGGTGCTAGCTGGTCTCCAGATATAGCATGTTGCGGCTGTTCATCTTGGAGATTTGGCCCCAATGCTACGGCCATTGCAATACCCTGTCTTCCTTTACCTCTATCTCCATGGCCACGTCCTCTGCCTCGACCAGGCTGCTGCCCCGTATTTTGCTAATTCTTCCATTGGCAATCATCCGGGTGATGATTGGTGCCCTGGCAGTGAGGACACACTGAAACAAAGGTCTTGGTCATGCTCTGCTGTCCACCTCGTCTAATAGCTCCTCGACCTCATCCTCCACGTCCTCTACGTCCACTTTGTTAACCACCTGCACCTCTCTGCTGACCTCCTCTACCACGACATGCCTGCTGCGGTTGCTGTGACCTAGCACCCTTATCAATACCATAGGATGTTGTCAACAACTCCAGATGCTCAGCAAAACGGATTGCCACATCCAACGATTGTGGCTCCTTCTGAGCCACTGGCATCCTCAACTCTGGGTGAAGAGCACAAACGAATCATTCAAGTATGTTAGTAGGATCGTATGTCTGAAGTCGCATGAGCAAATTCTGAAATCTCAAAGCAAAGGAATGTACTGTCTCACCATGCCCCTGGGTCAAGTTCCAGAGTTTGACCCTGGCATTCCTTTCATGTAAGGGGGACTGAAAACGATTGATGAGCAGACCTTCCAACTCTAGTAGAGTCACAGGTCTTTGTCCTCTTATAGAATGCAGATAATAATTATTGTCCCACCAAATCCTAGTTGTTCCCTGTAACAATGTCACCGCATAGGCGACGCTCTTGGCCTCGCTAATTCTTGTCAAATGAACATAATCTTTTACCATTGAGAACCAAGCAATAACATGCTCATTTAACTCTCCTTTGAAGGGGATTGGTTCCCTTGGCTTGACTTGAATTGGTGGTCCAACAGGATCCGCAGAAAATGGTTGGTAGCCTTGGTGTAGGATAGATCTTGGAAAAACTGGTGGAATCAGGGGAACAAAAGGTTGTTGCAGTAGTTTTGGCCTCGATACCAGAATGGCAGGCGTCATAGATTGCGTACAATCCACAAATGGCGGTGTTGCCACATCCATGCGATATTCTGCCTTTATTGGAGGCAGAATTGGCAACCCTAGATCATTAGTCGCAAGTGCTACAATATCAGATATGCATACTGTATTATCAGTATCCACATGCATGTCATCAGGGAAGGCTGCAGCTTCAGCAACTTCAATGTAGCTATGTAGTTCCACTATGGCCGTTTGACTCTCCTCCTATAATGCCCGTAGTCCCTCTATCTGTGCATCCTTGACCTGAGTGTCCAGTTTCAGTGTTTCCAGCTCATATTCCAACTGGTTAACCATCGCGGACAGGTCACTCTGTTGTTTGTTCAGACGCTCCTCCATGGCTTGCGCCATTCCAACCTAGTCCGTCTTGGTCGCCAATCCTTGAGCCACACTCATTGCAATGGCTTCAAAGCGCATCTGATTGACCGCTTGTTGCGGACTCAAAACTGATGTAGCTTGTTGGTGTTGATTCGCCCTCAACGCCTCCATGTTCTACTCCAGAACTTGCCGATGGGTATTGGCAGCATTCATGACTAACTGTAAGTCAATCAATGGACGTTGGGTTGCCTCCTGGACTTGTTGCACATCCTGGGACTTCGCAATTGACAACTCTTGAACTTGCTTCTCCACTCCCTTGATTGCGGAATGCACGGTCGCGGCTGTCCTGGCCAATTCCCTTGATGGTGAACGTCTTTCCCAACTTGATTTCCTCTTGGTCATAGTTTCCCTTATCCGCCAAAGTCAGGAAACATGAAAAAATGCAGTCCCGGGTGGTGTAGTAGCACCCACTGTTGCCACCCTGCGAATTGCAGTATTGTACGGTGTTGCGACATTGCGTACGGTGTCACTGGGTGTTGTGTCAGTGACAGCAAGTGTCGCAGCGCCCTGCTCGGCATCACGTGATAGCGGAAATTTTGAGTCTTTTTTGTTGTAGTTCGCAGCCACACTTTCCACGTATAAATCAGCTTGATTAGACCGATGCTGACTCAACCTCATGCGGCCCGGTGCGGTGCTACAGCCGCTCTAGGCCCCTCGCAACTCCGTCGCCTCCGCACGGCGTGGCAGCCCGGACACACTCTCCCCACTGTCCGCATCCATGGCGTTGGCCAGTTGGGCCTCCTGTGACATGGCCTTCAGTCTCCAATCGCCGCGCACGGCCAATCGCGACTTCGCCACACGTTGTCACCATTTGCCACCAAGATGCGCGTCCAGAATCGACCTTCTGCCGCAATTGTCCACTGGCGCCATTCACAATCAAGTCCAATCTCACATTTCTTCTGGCTCTTTATGGCCCACTCAGCCCGGCCATGGTGCTGCACGTTCAATCCGCGTGTTGGCTCGCGTTTGCCATCACCAATTCCCGCCGAGCTCCCGCCGATTCAAATGGGCCCAATGTGGGAACCCAGGATGGCTTTCGATTCAACACTCCAAACCCGTCGCTGCTGCTTCGCCAGCCTTGGCGCAACTCTGCGCGCTACTCTGCATGTCGATTTGGCAAGAATCCACTCGCTGACCCATTGAAAACCGTCCTCTCAGCTCGGCCAGTTCGAGCCGCAATCGGTCTTAAATGTGGCCTCCTTTCTCAAATCCCATGGGCCGCTCTATTCGGCCGCGTTGTTGTGCTCCCGGCGCCCATCTTGGCATGCTTGGCATGTCAAAACCCCGGCTCCAAAACCAAAATGTTGTCAGCTTCCCTTCGGGACCCCGTCATCACGAGGGGACCTCCGATGCGTGTGGTGGTTAGCTGCTCGATGCTCCGCCTCCGCCGGGTCTGAATGGTCAGACTGCACATGCTGGACATGGCGCTCATGGCAGTATGCTCAGGGGCTGTCCTGTTGCCTGTCACAGGCAAGCTCGTGGGCTCTGCCGGCCAAGTTGGCCAAGGTCGCAGGTTCGGGTCACGGGAGCAGTTTGCTTGCGCGAGAAAGGATCATTACTACACCGCACTCACCACATAAGTATGGTGACCAACTCGCTGGTCGCCGGTGCGGAAACAATCCATGTCATGGCACCCACATCAGTGCCTTAACGTATTGTCATTGCACCCATATACTTCATATTCCGAATATAAATGTCTTGACCACCGTTTATAATCTGATATCCTGGTTTTCAGCATATTACAATCGCTACAATTCTTGCTGCTTGTATTCCCCAAAACAAGTGGAAATTGTTTGGCATTGTTATTCAAGTTGTTGAGTCATCTTGGCATCGACATAAGGTTTGATGATAAGGAGGAAGGGGCGGGGGTTTTGGGTGTATAGGCTTAACGTCAAATTGATGTTAAGTGTACCAAAATCGAAAAAGCGCCTTACGTTACAATTCAGGTGTTGGTCATGGTCACAGCCGCAAAATGAACAACACTATTGCAAGAAAGAATCACACTAAGTGCTGCGATAGGCCGTCGCAGAAAACAACAGCTCTGGGCCACCGTGGCGAAACACATTTTTCCACTGTCATTGAAGAATGCAATTCCACTGTGGCAAAAACCCATGCTTGCAAACCAGAGGTTACTGTTTATGCGACGGCAATTGCTGGGTTTGGACAAATACTGCTGGTTGTTCAGCGGGGTCCCACAAGTGCCCGATATATTCTTGTTGCTCACACGCCTGAATGTGCTGCAGTGGGTGGATGTTAGCAGTTCGCTACCAGCTTTTGAATACCATTCGCCGACTTGAAGGTGCCAACCTGGGACACAATAAAGTCCACCATACTCCACCGAACATTGTGACCTGCCCAACCTGGTCGCAAAGACAGAAGTGCCCTCACAACAATATCTGGTTTCCATGCCGGCATCATGATGGTCTTGCGGTGATCGAAGTAAACAGCTGTCCAAGACAAGCTGTCCATTGTGGCGCCTGGAAGTCAAATACCACGGAAATGTTGAGTCAAAAGGTCATCCAAATGAATCAACACCCCCGAACAAATGCCGCGGAATCGTTGCACTGGAGCAGAACATCAGGCTGCGCGGAAGGAGTCGAACGGCGGCTCCTCGAGCGCATGACACCGCAGCGACGGGCCGCGTCCGCGCCCTCCCAAAAGAACGCCAGGTGGAGCGGGAAGGGCGCAGGCAGGACAGACCATGTCCCTCACAGGCACTGACAAAAAGTCCAGGAGGTTGCGGGCGCTTTGTGTAGGCGCAGGGGTTGCTGCTGTCTCTACCGCAGCGTATGCATGGTGAGGGGCTGTCTATTCATCTGCGCTGTGTAGCATTCTGTTGAATTCTTCGACGCGCGGCCTGTGCATAGTGATGTAGCACAGGCGTGTTGAGTCACAGGTCTCGCATCAGGCTGATGTTGTACTGATGCGACCGTAGTGTGGAAGCCCCTGTTGATGAACACACGCACACAAGCTTATCGCGGACTGTGGTGTGACTGTCTCTCCAAGGTGGTACTTCAATCATGTTTGTCAAGTGCCCCGCGTGTATTCGGCAAAGGGAAGTGATGTTCAAAAGATAATGGCAGGGGTCGCCAACTTGTGGAAACCCTACAGACCAGCGTTTTTCCTTCCCAATACACATCAGCAAACCATTGCAGGAGGTAAGTCGGGATGTGACAAGCTGCCAGGTTGAGTCGCTTTGGGAGTTGCCTGAACCCCGCTCGGTTCTGCTCGTGGCGTTGGAACTGGATGTGCTGTTGCACCTCCCACTGCGTCGCATTGCATGTCACTTGCGTATCTTGGTATTCACAAGCTCGCTTCCATTCCCGTCCGTGAGGACACCTTTCTGTTTGGCAATATGTGCCATTCTGCAGCATGTTTCCATGGATATCGATGCTCCTGGACATGCACAACATTAGGAAAGGGAATTTGACCAAGTCGTAGCAAAAGTTGATGTTGGTGTGGATTTCATCAAGCCACTGTCTTGCTCCGCAGTGGCGATGTGTGCATGTGGTAGACCATGTGAGTGTGACATCAAGAAGCTTGGTTACCACTGTTCTTCCACTTTTTTGTGTTCTCCCCATTCAGAAGAGACACACTGCTGGAGAAGCCAATTCACTTTCAGCACCAGCGATATCTCCCATTTTTCAATGGTTTGACCTCTACACCTGTTGCTGTGTACTGTGATGTGGAACTGCATGGGATGTTATGAAGTACTGCTGAGCAATACAGGGATCAATAACGCAATAGGGCTGTTGAAAAGTGTTACAGCCTTGCAGCCATGGATGACCTGACCTATGTTGATGCATTTCTGCAGTGAATTTGGTCTTCTGTTACAATGAGGATGCACTGGCCCGCTGCACTGCTTGTTGTCAGCACCGTCAGTGGCGTTTGGCTTTTGCTTGACAATATCCTTCCCATCCTTGCAGTTTTCCGGAGGTCCATTGCAAGCTGCTTTGAACGGGAAGAAGTTCGTCTGTCTGATGGTGGCACCTGCGCCCTGGATTGGTTTAAGGACAGCAAGGACCTCTCCAGGTGGAAAGACGATGTACCCATAGTGATTGTCATGCATGGTCTGACAGGTATGCTCTGTCAACATGTCGTTGTCAGATGTGCACCCCACTTCTGTCAGCTTGACAATGACTCAAGTGGTTGTTGTCGGTCACCCTCTGCACATGGCAGTTGCTGTTGCCTCAAAATTCACATGCCTGGAGCAGAGATGATAGCATTCATGTTGAATGGCCTCATTCTTGGGCAGCCCTCTGAACAACACACGATGGCAGGAGGAAGCCATGAGGGCTACTGCCATTGGATGTGCCAGACTGCTTATGAAGGGGGTTGGCGATCCCTTGTGCTCATTTACCGTGGATGCTCTGGCCTTCGCTTAACCGCACCAAAGGGATATTGTGGAGCTGTTGCAGACGATGTACATGTGGTGATGAATCTGGTGAAAAAGTAGGTATCCATCTCTACAGCAGGTACAAATAATCTCTGTCGAGGCACCACTGTGTATTTGCAGCATCGTGAATGTGGTGATTGATGAGTGTTGCTACAGTACCCAAGCACAGCACAGGCACGATGCAGTTACATGTTAAGTCAGTTCGCGTGCATGTGAGTGCAAGGCACTGTGGCAAAGAAAAACTCGACCAGGAGCTTCGATCGGCGTAAACATGATATTATTGGTGCAAAATGTCCCCTTCATGGCAGTTTCCAGGCAGGAAATAATGCACAGTATAAATGCACACGGCTAAACAAAGGGTGGCAGTTCTTTCCGATATTGTGGCTTGAATGGTTAATTCGCCCTGCGAATGGTGATGTTGCAATGCTCATTTTATGGTCGACGTGGGCAAAGAGTGAAATACAGCAACTCAGCCAGTCAGGGTGGTGATTCTTGCTGGATGGTGATTCTGTTGGTTGCATGGCATGGGAATTTGCCTCCCAGGTTCAGCTGGGCAGTTCTATGAACCGATAGATAAAAGGATGCATTTGCAGTAAACTAGGGATGGACTGCTAGCTAGCTCGAGATGCTTGGATGTCTCAGGTATTTGCATCATGCACTGTCTGTTGGCACAAAAACGTCAGCGAGCTGGTTTGCAGTGTGCAAGGCAACATCAAGTAGGAGCTCATGCCGCTGAAGAATTGCTGCCAATGTTCTGAATAGAACTGTGCATCTGTGTTCATTCTGGAATGAGCTGGATTATGTGGCCTTCTGTTTTATCGACGCCTCTCCAATGGATTCCACTGTGCAGCCACACGAAATATCTCAACAGAGTAGGGCATTTCGATGTGTGTCTCCTGTCTTCCCACTGTTACTCAGCTCTTTGCTGGGGAAAATGCCAGCAAATCAGCAATTTGGGCAAAACTGTTCGTTCACTGTATTTTTTCGGGATGGCATTGTTTGTCACCATGTCTCACAGTTGGTCTCACGTTGGTAAGAATGGGGAGGTTTAACAGAAGAAATCATTGGTAAACTTTCGTCCAATGTTCTCCTCTGTAGGCGATGCCCTGCCGCCCCTCTGTTTTGTTCTGGATACTCACTTGGAGGGGCGATGCTTTGCAAGTACATGAGTGAGTCAGACGCACCTGATGGACCAGGGAGCCAATTGTTGGCAGCCGCAGTCGTCAGCGCCCCTGTTTGTCTCGCTGCATCCAACAAGAACCTTTCTCGGGCTTGGACTCTCCCATGGGTGTTCAACTTGGTATTGGCATACAGGTAAGACTTGGTGCTGAACGTCCCTTTTGGCAATTGTCTCGCACCTGGATCATACTGGTATTGCCGAACAAGGCGTCACATTTTTGGCTGCGATACATGATGTCCGTGTACTCGAGATGATTCAAATGTGAATTGACCTAAATGGCATGTATGTTCGTGTGCTCGATTCTTGGGTGTCCTCAATTCTTGAGCTTTTTGTGGTATTTGATGGTCTGGTTCCAGTTGACCGGGCAGTGGAACTCAAATTGAGTGATGGGCTGGTACTGCAACTTCCGTCTCCAAATGTTGCTGTTTGCTTTTTCAGTTCCATATTTTTTGTTTGCAAACAGGCTGCGCATGTATGCCGTTGAGCATGCTAAGTGTTTTGAAGGACATCCAACGGTGGACGACAAATTAGTTATGGGAGGCACGACCATTGAAGATTTCGAGCAAGCAACGATATGTCAAGTATTTGGGTTCTCATCTTTGGAAGCTTACTACAAGGCTGGATCGCCGCTGACCCACATTCCGGAGCTGCGCACGAAAACGCTCATTTTACTTTCCGAAGACGACCCTTTTGTGGGGTACGAACTCATATTGGTGAAAGGCAGACTGTGCTGCTTGCTTTAATGTACGAAGCGTTTTTTTGGAAAGCAGGCACTGGTGTGCTGTGCATCCCGCCCGTGTGCACAGCCTCTGGTGCGTCTTAACGATGTGAAACAGGCCTCACCCACCCAAGCCAACAGGCCAGAAGGGCAGGACACTGAGCAGAGCAATAGTCACAAGGCTGTCGACTCTGGTGTGATTGTCAGTTGTGAGATACTACGAAGTAAAATGCACAGCCCGCATTTTGGTGGCTTGTACCTCTTGGATTGCTGTTCGGCAATAGCTGCAAGTCTCGTTGATGAGTAATCTTTGTGTGTGTAATGTACAGTTAACAGCACAACCTGTAGTTGTACACAGCAGTTTTGCTGAGATCATGTTTGTAGAGTCCGCAAACGCAGAGCCGCTCTTGTAGCTTTGCGTAATTTTGTGTTTGATGCTTGTTGGCATCTCACCTCTGTGGCAGTATGCAGATGCGCAGCAACGGAACGCTACGTGACCGCTGTCAAACGTACTTTACATCTGCACCTGTGACCTTGTCAAAAACCGTGCCCCTTGGAGGTGTACCATTGAGTAAATCACCATAGGGACGATACAGGTATGTGTCCGTTCCTGACAATCGGGTCATTCAACGCACAGTGTTGAGATATATGCCGCTCTGAAAGTGACTGCATTTCAACTGCATAACTTCAGAATGCTGCACCTATTGCTCCGTCGGGGTGCATTGAATGCTGATGTGTGGGCCGTGTTTCGCCTCGGCAGGAAGCTTCCCATTGACGAGTGCATCGCAAACCCTTCCACTGGCTTGGTGGTGGCTGCCCGTGGGGGCCACGTCGCCTTTCTGCAGGGCGTCTGGCCATTTGGCAGGTCATGGATGGAGAGCACTGTGATGCAATATTTTGAGTCATGCTTAGACCACTGGAAGCGCAAGGGCCAGCCATAATGTTTCGTATACTTGGGGATGGTACGATCCATTGCGTGATGGAATATCGATTGAACTAGATCTAGAGTTGGCATCTCGCAGGGCTATTACTGCCAGTGGCGATGAGCCTTCGTCGCTGGCGCGACGAAGAGCACTTCATAGGCAGGGCAGGTAAAACCGGAGGTTACTGTTCGAGGGTCCCCACGCATTTGAGTAATTGGCAATTTCACCGGATTCTTGAAGATGAGGACCAATCTACCTCCCAAGTTGCACAACAGAGTGCGCATTTATTGCCATGCAGCCTGGGACTCCACATCCATTTCCAACTCTCCCAAGGCACACGTGACGTTCGTCGCCCGCATCTTTGTCACATGTGCCATACGACTCCTGGTAGGTGTCCTCAAGGACGAAACCGTGGTCGGCACACGATTTAACCCTTGCTCAGCTTCGCCGCTGGACTGCAATATTGACGTTTGTGGACAGCAGCGCGTCTTCTCGTCTGTAGCCCAGGAATGGCCAGAACAGCTAACGAACTGTGCGCATTAACATGGTAATGTATTTTACACATCGAGCAGTTAAACGGTACAATTCCTCACAATACAGAACCAATGCCTTTGCACATAATGTCTCAAGGGCCAAGGGCAAGGGCCAGCTTCATCAGATAAGGCCCAACCACCCTCGACCCAGCAATACTAGCAGTGCGGAGTTCCCGGACACCAAGCAACAATTGCCTGGACTCCAAGCACCCTCCTCGGCTTGCTGCAAACACTGTGCTGTTGTGTGCAGCGTCTGTAGAAGCTCCACAATACTTGTTGCACATTGAAGGCCCGGACACGAGCATCACTGGCCAGTGAGGTGTTCCATCAGAGCAAGGGCACTGTCCAAAGCAGTCTCCGAGTCAAAGCCACCGCAAAGAACGGTGTGCCCATCCGCCAGTGCTATGTCCAAGATGGGGCCGCCTGTATCAGCACAACAGGAATTCATGGATACGCACAGGGCTAGGCAAAGGGCAAGGGAAGCTTGGGTTCTGGTGTGGGCCTCTTGTTGTCTGGTGTGCTGTACTCGGGTTTTCAAAATTTACACGTGCTCACATGGCTCTCCTGAGCGCTGGACTTCTTTTTTTCGTAGTGTTCTTTTGTGTGTTGTTCCAAACACACCCAGTGAGGTCTGCATTCTAGCCTGGGCTAACACCAGGGCGATTTTGTGGCGCTCAGTTACGCCTCATGCACATTGAGCTCAGACCCCCGCTAACCACCTCGTTGACGCCACAATGACCAATCACAGTCATTGCTTTCACAGCGATATGTGGAAACCTTGACCAGGGGACCCATCACCAGTGCATACCGTAGGCAATCTAAGGTTGTGATACACGTCAAAGGACGAGATTACTCGATCGCACAACTTGACTATGTGCAGCGTTTCAGGCTTGGTTGAGGAGATGGGAGAAGTGGTTCCAACATATTCATCCGTGGACCCTTCAGACAATTCAGGCAATATTTTGGGTTTATTCTTGGCTTCTGCTGATTCTGTGGCAGCTACTTGATTTTTTGGTGTCGCACATGTCCCACTTTCCCCTTGCTATCAATTCGACACAAAGCATGACAACATCCCATGGCGTCGCCACTTGACACCTTGGCAAAGAACATAATCTGTCCCTTGACGGATTTTAACGTACAATTTGTATTCATCTCTGGGACGAATGCTGCACTTGTCCGATACAGAGACAGGAAAAACTGCGCAAACACAACATGACTGACCGTCGCAACACTACAACACTCACCTTCTGCGTCTTTTCTTACTACCTTCGTTACCCTGGCATGTTCAACGGCCGCAGGCAATCGTTTCCCACGATGCTCAGGTGTGAAGCAGAAGTGCTGTTCAAAGATGCTGAGCACAATAGGGAACACCATCTGCACGGCATTGCATCCCTCAAACCATAGAACATTGCTCAGGTGGTCATGAGTACTGACACCAGTTTCCAATACACAGCTGAGGAAGTACAACAGAAGTACCGCGCTACAACGACCAGATTTCAATGCCACATGCATGTGGACACTTGACCACGCTACCCAACTGGGGCCATGAATAATTGCGAACTTGCTAAACGTGCACACCAGTGCTCATTGAGGCAATGCAATGCAACATGTCAAACAAGGCAACACATCAACGATTCAAAAGGCCACAGCAGCAACTTCCAACCCTGAGAACAGTGGTGCTACCCTGTTGGTAGCCAAACGCTCCCTGTGTTCAAGTGACACACAACAACAGTGCTCAACTTGACATTTTGTGCGGCCTGCAGAACAAAACATTGGAATGGCAGCACCACCAGTGCATTTTATGCTGTACATAAGACCTGACGAGTAAGAAATCAGCTTCTGTATATACATTTACAATAGGGACAGCTGTCGATTGCAAGGAACTTTAATGGCCATAAACCAGTTGACCAACACCAAAAAGAAGTGTTGGCATAAATATGGCTGCTACTTTTGGACAACATGTGAGGTGCTGCATCTGAGGTTCAACTCACGACAGTGGCCAAATAGCTGAAAGTCACAAATTCTCTGGACAATTCTTGTACTATATGCACATGCCATGCATCCGCTGTGGCCATTCTCACCATTTCGTGCTTGAGTGGACCAGCAAGACAGCACAAAGTCATTGCACTCAATTTTACTGTCAACACAGCAAAAGGCACAACCAAAATGCATGTATCACCTGCATTTCTGGCGTATAATCATTCTGCGAGCAGCAGTATGACTGCAAGAGCTTGCACTTGAACTGTTCCAAGAGAGCTTCATTCTCTGACAGCCCATAGTGCTGCTGCAAACCGTTGATTCCCTGCAACAAAGCAACATATGCAGTCACTCATTTGGTCTCACTTTGCACAAGTAACACTGATTTGGCTGGTGCTTCAACAGCACAACTGATTAGGATGCCGCGACAAACACACATGCATCCCTGAACCGTATGTTGTCTGTGTTAAAGACAGCAACCTGGAACGATTGCAGGCTCGGGAAGATCGATTGGCACTGACACAGAATTGTGATTTACAATAAACAGAATATACTCACCTCGTTGGTAGTGGTGGCTCCCTCCACAGCTTGTTCACCATTCTCTGCAGTGGGGTCCAGAGTAGCCCACCAGCTTGACAGGCCACCCACGATGGTGGAAATCGGCGACTGTGCTTCTGCAGCTGTGTTCACTGCTGTTGTCCAGCGTTGAGATATCTGCAGGGCATGCAAGGCACATATGTCTAGGGTGTTGGGAATCTGGCAGGTTTGTGATGGCCAGCACAGCACTGAGGTGATTACATCATGCACCTTGACGGTTGAGAAGTACAGAAACATTGAGAATACGATTGGCAGCAATGACAACATGCGAACACACACTCTGCCCTTACAATGCCAACGTGAAATTCTTTCTCAAATCCTGGACGGACAACGTTGGAGCATTCACACCATGTTAAATGTTCGGCAGCCATACCGTGATGCATGCTTTGGTTCAACGTTGGAGCATTCACACCATGTTAAATGTTTGACAGCCATAACGTGATGCACGCTTTCAAGCACCTTTGCTAAACCCTTGATATTTTTGCATGTCAAACGACAAGCGGGCATTGTACACAGAAGGCGATGATGGACATCCATACATCCAAACCTTTTACCTCTCATCGCCCATTGTATCCGCCACTGTACCAAGCATCCTTGTAAGGATTGTGAAGTTCTGGAAACATCTAGCCCCCCAACACATGAACGGTGGAGGACCAAAACCAATCCAGCTATGTACTATGAATTTCCTGTTTGGCGCTGTGGACGACCAAAAGCCACACCCCTCGAAACGATTACTCACATTCTTCGCTGCCTGCTGCACATCTCTGGCCACACCTTGGGCCATGCCTGCCACCTGCAAAACAGCGGCTCCCAAATCAACACGGAGACGCGTTGCACGTCCTTGCAGGAATGAGTTACCTGCGTTTGGCCATCCACTTTCTTCGAGAACACTTGGGAGCGAAACAAGACTGCGCGCCTTGACAGCCACCCAACCGAAATTTCAGGCCAGGCGTCCTTTGGCCCTGTGCAGCAAGCAAACAAAGGAACCCTGCTGCGGGCTCCTGTTCAAAGCACCTTCGTCGCCGCGGCCGCGAGCTCCTTCAATGCTTCATCCTCTGGACCAATTGGAGCATCTGCCTGGCCCGTAGGGCCGGCATCTGCCTGAGTGCCAAGGTCTTCCATCTCCGCAACCGCGGGAGCCGTGGAAGGTCCACCCGCACCGGCACGCCCTCCTTGAGGGCCGCCCTGCCGGCGTTTCTCGCCCCCCTCGTTGAACTCGAGCGACTCGAACTCGCCCTCAACCTCCGTCTCTACGAGAACGTCAGGCTTGCCCTTTTCCGTCGACATCCTTCAGACGCGCGATGTCTTGAGCTTGAGCGTCGAATTTTGTGCCAGGCGGATTACTGCCGGCTGCCTGTCGTGGGGGAAGAACGTGCTCTGGGGGATGACGGGCTGACCGGCGTTGATAGGTCGCTGACGGGTGCGCCACCGGGGAACGAGCTGGAGGCAATGGAGTTAGAGCAAGCATCCCAACAAAGATGTCTCTTTGCAGATAAATTTATGGCCAAGTCATCCATTCAGTCCGTGTGTCATGACCACGTCATCATCATCATTTTTTACAGAACAACGCAATGAGGTAACGGTCAGCTTCCTATTTTGCCCGAGCAAAGCGGTGTCTATGATCAGCTCATTGAAGTCTATTGTTAGACATGAAAAATGTCTGTGAGTCTGTTAACTGCTAATGCCAAGAAGTGATTGTCGATGATAATACATCAAAAGAAGTGTCCTCGCCAGTTGGCTAGCAGGAACCGAAGCAAAAATTGTGTTTGCGTTGTGATATCGAAAAAGACTTGAGTGGCTTCGACGGATGTTGTCATAGGCCTGGCAGTGGAAGAGTAAATGCATTACGTCTTCTGGAGCCACATGACATAATGGACACAATCGCCTTGAAAACTCTGGACTGGATTGTTGTGCTTGGTGTCGTTGCTGCCCAACCTCCAGAAAGTGAATTCCACAACGAAATCCCTGGAAAACGTCCTCAAGGAGATAGGATGCAATGACCATGTCACATCAACGTCCCTTTTGGCTCTGCACGATGATGTGACAAACGATTGTACAGTTCCTTCTCCAGTTCTTAGAATAGGATCCGTTGCAACGCAACTCGCGCCCGCCGCCGATGCCTTATCTTCTTAGGGTTCATTCCCAAAACATGTGGAAAATTAAATCGCCATACAGTCTTCCAGTGAGACCCCTTGCCAGCTACCTGTGCACAGATAAACTCGTGAAACGTGTGAAAACAGTGCAATGTTCCAAACCGTGGCCACCGAAGCGATGGGAGCGTGCGGAACTTGGCTGATGCGACGAAAACACGGGGGGTCAAAAACAAGCCACCACCGAGACTGCCCAGTGGGGGATTGGTATAGGGATTCGAAGCCCGGATTCGGCCTGCCATTGCGGCCTCTGTGTGAGGCCCTGGAGGCCGAGAGGAGGCCCTGATGGAACGGAGGAGTTATCCAATTGCAACAGTGCATGCACATCGATGGATGGCGCATGCATTACGTTGGGTGAGCAGACGATTCTTGCTGTCAATCCCAAATCGTCGGCATGGCAACAGCTGTGTGAAAGCCACTGATACAACCCTCCGCACCCTCCACGCCAGCATCCCTTTCGGTTTTTCCCTCTCTGCTCTTTCGAGCAGGCAGACGGGCGCCTGTCCGGCAAGGAGAGCCCAGCTTTCAGGCTGTTGACTGGAGTGCGTCGGTCGACTGTTTCGCGTCCATACAATGGAGACCGTGAGGAGATGCGTCTTGGTTGTAGTGACGTTCACATGCGCAGGATGTTTGGGACTCCCTAACACCGACTTGGAACGCCAGGCAATGAGGAATCTGGTGCAGGTAGATGCCGACGTGCTTTGTGCACATATCACCTTGGCGCACTGCGGCATTGATCTTTGGGTACAAATTGGGGAATTGTATGCAATGTGTATGTGCTAGGATGCATTGACGAATGAACGGGCGCACGACACAAAGGGCTTATCTGCCTATGTGATTGCTCTGTGGAGGGATGCTGTGTACCGTTGTGATGCTGCAGCGTGTGAGTGCGGGGTGGGGCACTGTCTGTCAGTTGACAACTGGGTTCCAGATCGTTGTCATTTATGCGCATTTTTGGAGAGACTGCTTCAGAACTGAGAGCACGGACTGCTGAATTGGTTGCTTGCTGCGCCACGAGAGCCAAAGAAGACCTCTCAGGGTCTGAAGCAGGGCAACACTTTCTGGACAAACGTATATTGGGCATGGGTGCCATTGATCGTTAGGTGTTCTTGTGGCAGATCACTGCTGACCCCTTAGGAGACACAGACAGTTTCTTAACCCTTCCTGAAAATCAGCGGCAAGCATTGGGAAAGGATGATGGAAGGACTTTCAAAGAAATCATTTCATCCCTTCAAAAGCTGGAGGCCCAGTTCGTTGTGGACATAAAGCTGGTGGGATTCGATGGTGATGGGTGCGTGACCATTCATAATTTCCTGTATGCAATGCTTCATCAAGGGACAACTTCTCCGCTGCGTCAGGCAAATGGTGCCCGCCGTACTGCATATGATGTTCAGGACACACACTACACAATTTTGTCAGTGCATTTTACAGTTTCTGTAGCGACAAGTCCAACAAGGCGAGCAAACCTGTCTGTGAAATATCCTTTGGACAAACAGTGCGCAAACCTTCCTGGTGCTACACCTGTGTTCTGATGCAAGTAAAGCGTGCAAAACATGCAGTCAAAAATGCAGAGAATTATGTGCTGATGGCCAAACATGGGAGTTGTCCACTTGACAGGTTTTGGCTTGGTATGCTTTGCCCTGTTATGCTCTCCTTCCTGTTCCCAGTTTGTGCGGTTGTTGACTGCGCAAGGACATTCTCTGATGCCGGAGGGTGTGCTTCTGATTTGGCTGGTCTTGCCGTGTTGTGCTTGCAGATTGCATGGGGCCATTGTGTCTCCAGATGACCTGCTCCAGCACCTTGTATCACTCAAAATGCATACCCCAGCTGTGGCCCTGCAACAAGTGACAGAAGAAATTTGGAGTCATACTGAGCTGGCAAGTGCATGCAAGCCAGGCAGTGCGAATGCCCCATGTGTTGCTCTTGATACAGTTCACTTAATGCCTGTGGGAAAAATGGCTGCTTTCATGGACAAGGGACTGTGATACCACGTTGTGACTGTTCCAACAGATGTCTGTGCTTTGAGATGCTGTGAACGAGTTGCTTGTCAGCTCTTGCTTTGTGACAATTGAATATTTTTCTGTCAGCTATGCAAGTATTCCTGAATAATCTCCGGCTGGAGACAACCCAAAATAGCATTCCGCTTTGACACTTGGATAATAACATAGATTTGTGCATCATCCCTCAAGTTGCAGCAGCCTATTGTGGTAACAGGCACAATGGTTTCACAGGATTGCTAGCAGATGCTAATCAGTACCTGCCTGAAGATGGATGGCACAGTTGAATGCAACAGCCAGGTCTGATTTGGCTTGCCCCTTACACACAGTATGGAAACAGTTGGTTTGAGACTAAACATGATGGCATCCTGTGCAGCGTAGACACATGTAGGAGACTGTGCGTCCCTTCTCTCCAGCCAAATATGTATTTGGTGCATCCACCTTGAACAAGCTGTTTGTGTCAACAGCACTGTTATGGACATCCTCCTACCTGGATGCAAGCAACATTCCTAAATGATTGCGTGCACAAGAACTATGGGCTCATGCTCACAGATCTTTTGGTCCCAATATCATGCATAACATCGAATGTGTGTGGCTGCACAGGGTGTCGACCAGAAATTGCTCTTCCATGTCTCCAAGGCACCCAGCCAACTCAACAAGCAAGTGGAGGCTGCTATTGCAGCAGAAATTCACAAGAGAAATTCGGAAGGTTTGTGTCTAATCAATGTGGTGAGAGCAGTGGGCTTGGTGATTCTTCTCCTCAAGTTATGAATTGAAGAGTTGTAAGCATACAACTTTGTGCAGCAGAGAAGTTGTTGATGTGAACCATCTCTTGGCTTGTTTTAATCTGTACAGGGATTGCATGCTAGGGTTCTTTGCATCCAAGAGAAAGAAACTCCATTGCCCATGTTGACTTTCTGTGGCTCGTGTTGACCTTCTTGTGGTTTGTCCAGATCCAAGTCAGAAAACATTGGTCCCATATGATGCAGTGGACACATGGATTGGGGAGTCATTCAATCGGAGTGGGTTGTTGGAAGCAGTCTACATTTTGAACCCAAAAAGCCCAGGCATTCCTTATGCCTACACCTACAGTGGGTATGTGCCGCAGACTGCAGTGCGTCCTGTTGGGCATTAGATGTTGTTTTGTGGCATACATGTGCCTCAGGGGCTGTTGATTTTTGTAATACTGTTGTGCAAATCTAACTCTCCAAGCTTGTGTGTAATGACCTCTACATTTGCACCTGTGCGATTGGCCTCATTGACGACGTCCACAGCTGTAGTAGATGCAGCCCTACATAGGTTCTGGTGATGTGGGTTAGTGGTGATTGCTAAAGAGTGCATTGCCGTATTGGATGACAATTAAATTTTGGTGCTGGCCCCAAGAAAACCTTTTTCTTTGGTGTCTGGCTTTGGAGAGTGCACATGTATTCATCTACGCATTGTGGGTCTACGTCACCAGACACACATGTACTACTGCAGTACTCTATTATGTCGTTGGGGCGCTGTTTCCCAGCGCCACCTCTTCAGGACCCAGTACTTCTTCTTTCACTCATTTTCTGTACTCGCTAGGCACTGGTTTTGTTAGCACTCCTATTGAAGTTCCATTCACAGAAGATTGTGAACAAGAATGTCATTTTGGGATGCAATGTGCATTTCAACTCAGAGAAAATCCTGAAATAAACTGATGTTCCAACTGGACTGCGTTTGCTGCCGACTGCAAGTTCTTCACAGATCCAAATGCCATTATGTATGGACTGGCAGACATATATACTTGGTATTCTTCAATGCAATCCCAGAAGATTAGACTCACCTGTGTGTCTGAAACAAGTGGCCTTTGTGCAATTACAGGAGTAAAACATGTCCAGGAACATTGTGGTGTGGATCCGAGCGCTATCTGTGGATTGATTTGACTGCTGGACCAGCCATGTATGGCCCATCGATTCAAGGTCATGGCCAAGTACTTTCACACTCGATCCCCAGGATGGAGCACTACAAAGGAACCTGGAGAAACAGGGCAATTGTGCCAGAACTTGCTGCACTGGTGCAGTCTGCATGCATGGTGGGCTGAACGACAGTGTGCCATGGACTTGAGCGAATGGTATCTGATGCGCAAATAGATGGTGTTTCAAAAGTGTAGAGTTCTTGTAGAGTTCTTGCATTTTTGGAATCGCCTATTGTGGCCATTGTGCAAACAAGCATGCTCCCTAGCATGCTCCCTAGCATGCTCCCTAGCATGCTCCCTAGCATGCTCCCTAGCATGCTCCCTAGCATGCTCGCTAGCATGCTCCCTAGCATGCTCCCTAGCATGCTCCCTAGCATGCTCCCTAGCATGCTCCCTAGCATGCTCCCTAGCATGCTCGATAGCCTGCTGAATGTCAGATTCCTGCTGGCTGTTGTGCACCTGCAGCAGTTGTTCTCTGGCCCCAGTTTGCTGCCTCTCTGGTGGGTGACTATGCTAGTGGGTGATTGGTTGTGTGCTTCAAAGCCTGCCTGCCTTATTTGCAGCCATGTGCTGCAGCTGTGTCCTGACTTAGCCTTGTGTGTGTGTTTGTGTGTGTCTGTGCCTATGTGTCCCTCTGGACAGCATCTGTTGACTCCCTTTGCACTGGATGCTCATCTCAGCGACTGGAAGGAACTTGTCCTGCAAGTCATTCACATTCATGACAGTGTCATCCCAGACCATGCAGCAAGCAACATGGAGCAACTCAGTTGGGTGTCTGACGAACTGCAGAGCCTGCGGTTTCATGGTCAGCACATATCTATGCGCCATGCATTTGTGGGCTTCGGCAGTTGCGATGCATGTGTAGCAGCTTACAGCAGGTGCAGACGGCGATGCCCAAAACAGTCCCTTGCATGTTCCTGGCATCACCCGTGTCAAATGTAGCCTGTATCGTGTCATCGTCACCAGACTGGGTGCGAGTAGGCGTTGGCATGCTTTCATCTCAGCGCAATGTGTGGTTTATATTGTGTCGCTGGTGATGGGCATAGGAGATACTGTCCAAGACTGTGGAAGACAGGTCCCACATTGTTGCTGCTCGCACCAGTCATCACTGCGCAGAGAGCAATGGTTGGCAGTATCACTTGTAGTGCCCTCTTCAGTTCATATGTTTTTTACTTGCGATGCCAGCTGTTGTTGCATTCCAGGCTTGTTATTTACAGCGTAACACATATTCACAACACAGATCGTATTTGCGCTTTTACTTAAGAATGGTAGTTGGGTTATTACGCGGAAACATAATAAAATTACGTATATACAGGACCAGTGTACATAAAGGCAATACATACAGGCTCGAGGAGTCTGGGGGAGTGGAAGCCAGATGCGCTGGGCAGAAATGAATTGCAGAAATTTGGTTCGACGACGTCGCTGCCCTTGCCAAGGGCGACGCGGACGTTGTGTTGCATACACTCCAGGGGGCGGAGGTCTGATCATTGTGCGCCACTGTGTCATGTAACCTGAGAGCCCGTAAATATAGACATAAGAATAGCCGTTTCTGTGTGTTTGCGGTTTGTGCATAAAAAACATGAACGTAAAAGTGTAAACAACGTAAACGTAAGTGACAAGCACATTGCATTTTATTCTTGCTGCATCCAGAGCTTCAATACCAGCTGTTGCAACATAGAAAGAAATTTCAAACATCTTTTGTAAAAGGGGGATGCCTGCTGTTTGACGCCTTTCTTATTTCTGTTTGCAAGAGTCTTTCATCCCCGGTAGTTCCCTTTCCTGCATCTGGCATATCCTTGGTCTGTTCATACGTGGCTTGTGCAGTCATTTATCTTTGCCCACAAGTGCGCAAACTGCACATATTGAACGGAGCCTTCACACCACCTGGCATTCAGAACCAACATGTTGGGCTTCATTGGGATTCAAGAGGACTCCCAATTGTGCCTAATTTTGTCATATGAGGTTGCCCAGAAAATCGAAAAGTGTCAGGTCGCTTCTGTATATCCTAACTGCAGTGGAGGTATTCCCTTTCTCCTGTTCGCCCTGTGAGGTATCGCTTGTGCATCTGTTGCAGCCTCCTGTGTATTCGTTTCACTGCAGTGCACCTACCGCATCTTTCTGAAGCATCTTTTCCTGTATTGACCAAGCGTTGTCTGAATTGCAGGGCCCTTCAAAGCCGGACATTTCGGCCACCTGGTGCCGAGTCTGAAATTGTCAGTCAGTCTTTTTTGGTCAGTTTCATTCTGCACCGCTGGCTATCAGAGAACGCGTTCGTCAACCACATTGTGGACGATTCCGGTGCTAGAGTTGATTTGGCGGCAGGACCCCAGCAGCGCATCATACCCATTTATCTGTTTGAACTGGCCATTCGCGAACCTCTGCTTCTAGATGATGGCGAAATGGCTGTTGCGTTTCCGGACATGGTAATTGCTGTTCACACACAGGGCGGCGAAACACCATCGGGTTACAGCTGTGGGAACAAAGAAATCATGATCAATGTGGCCAACGTGGGTCGCCCCGTTTTGGCAGCCGTGCTGGAAGCTGGTAGGAGACCTCTGTATGAGTAGACTGTGGTGCACCTACAGCTGAAGTGATCCAGCATCTATGTGCCATGCGATGTGTTAGCCACAGAACACTCAACAGTGTTACAAAACTGTGTTCAACTGACGCGCGAAAAACACAGATGTGTCTTTTTGCCTTCGAAGCAACGCTTGCCCTCACCAAATCTGCAAGCGTGTTGCACCGACAGCACTGAATTGACAGCAGACTTGTGTTTCACAGCATTCAAGTACATAGGATTTCTTTTAATCCGTGAAGGCTATATTGGCGATAGAATGATGGAGGCTGTCGTGGATTTTGGTCAGCAACCAACGCCCTTGCAGAAACAATGCATAAGTACATGTGGATGGGGCCATTTATGGGATCAGTGCAATCTGCATGGTGTCTCGTTTTCCGCTTGCATGCTGATTTTGGCAGTGATTTTCATCCGCGCTCTGTGCCCTTAAGATTGTCCGTTTTTGGTTTCGGTTTTTGGTTTGTATTCCTCCCCTGACGTCTTGTTCTGCTTCACGATCGAGAGGTACTTCCATGGGAATGCTCATAGGTGCAGCAAACAAATTGAAAAAACTCACAGTTTTGACCTGTTGGCCAGTTTTAAAGGGCGTGCGTTTGGCTCTGTGTGACAGGATGGGGGGTGCCGAAAACATCACAATCTTGGACGCTCGAAAGTGGCATGCGGGTGAACCATCTGTGGTCTGTAGGCCATACGCCTTTCGGCCACCTGTCTGACGTTCAAAGCCTCTCCTTTTCTCAGCGCGATGTTGCCCGACGGAACCACATCCTTGCCTGCTTGCACGAAATTGTGAAGGTGGCAACAAAGCTGCTGGGCAATTTCGCTGATGTGTCGCCCACTGGGCACGCTTACGCTGTCTTTCCTAAGCAGCATTTGCCCATGTACTTCCAAAGGCGGAATGTACTGCTGCATAAGTTGGAAAAGGCAGTGTCACACCTGTCTCTGCTGCAATTCGACACCGCAATGTACTTCGTTCGGTCTTCACAGCACGAGGTCGTCGCCCTGAGGGAGTTGGCTCGGATGGCCGCTATGGAAATAGATACAAGGCTGGTGTGTGCTCCTAAGTTCAGGAATCTAAGATATTGGCTAGTGTTTGTGGCGGGAGCTATTGTTGGCGCAATGGTTTGGGTATTTAGAAGGGCAAAGGCAATTAAAAGCAAGCTTGTGTAGGTTTAAGGCCTAGGATCATTTCGCGCAGGTCAACTCCTCTAGCAGTTGAGCCTTCTTGCAAAGTGCACACCGGCAGTATTGAGAGCGGATGTGGATCACCGCATGGTTTTAACCTCTTGATGCTCACTTCAGACATGGGAGAGGTATCACCGGAGGTACCAGGAGTTGAAGCCATTGTCACAATGGCTTGAAACGCAGTGTTTCAAGAGCTGTTGTTACCCCATTGGATACACAACAGCGGGTCCTATTCCTTCGAATTTCCGGCAGGGAAGAGAACCAACTAGAAGATTCATAATTACCTCTGGCCTTTGTCGCGGATGATGATGCTTGCACAGTCGACGCCACGGGCAATTTAAACGGTTGCCTGCGAAAGGGAACAATGAGGAGAGTCTTGCTATATTTTGGTCAGCAGCGATCATGCCACTGACAATGCTAGACGCCCAAGTTGGATGGCAGTTGTTGGCATCTAATTGCTTTGTTCTTGCCCAAACGCAGGACAATTGCTTATGTACATGACGCAAAAGCAGGCTCCTGTTCTTCGTGGAATCATCTTTGTGCTCTATATACGCGGAAGGCCATCGCACTCTTGCCAGTGAGCTCACCCGCACAGTCAGGAGACCTCCTCCAGCAGACCACCAGAATATGTTGGAGATAGCACGAGGTCCAGGTGCTCGCAGGACAACATTGGAGCTCCATGCGCGATACGAGCTTTGTATCGTCTGGGCTCACAAAAATTACGATGAATGGTGCTAAGCACGATTATCCGTGTGGCTCACGGATTCTATAGGTGCTGCATGCATGACGCAGGAAATTCCCAGGCACGCGTGGCGTTTATAACAGGCGTGATCCACAGCAGCCTGTAGCGACACAGATAAGAAACAGATGTTGCGTTTGGAAACCTCAGTGTCATCGCTACACATGATATCAACTGCAAATGGATGCTGCCAAGATGGACAGCTGTAACGCACTGGCATCAAATACGATTACGGAAAATGGGCTGCCGAATTCCAAATCCACTTGCCGATGCGATGTTTCTTCTTTCGATATCCTATGCCCACATTGTTGATCTCGATAGTTATCAGCAGACGGGATTCTATGACCCCAAGGCGCTCGGAGCCTTCAACGACCGACGGCGCACTCGCCAATCTCTATACCAATCGTGCAGACAGCAGCAAAAACTTGTCGCGATTCAGTGCAGTCATAGCCACAAATGTTGCATCAACTTTTCGACACACTGAAAATGCCCCTAGCCATCAACATTAAATGACGTCCAGAACTCACATAATGTATCCAAGATCCTCCATCGTTCGCCCCCGCGGTCCACGGCAATCCCACGTCCATCAGCAGCCGCAGCCTCAGTATTGTCACAGCTCCTGTGGCAGCAGCATTGCCCCTCGAATGCTAAATATAGCATCTAGATCTCGATTGGGGGCCTGCTTGTTCTAATGAGCCATGATGGGCTCAACATGCGCAGTATAAGATGTGAAGTGTCGCTCCACCGCACGCAAGGGGAATTCTTCACTGGACAACTGTTACTTATCAAGGCAAGCAGGCAGCCGTCAGCTCTCCCTTCTGCTCGAGAAAGGAGTGTCCGCAATTTGTTCGTTGACGTGGAAGATATTGGACCAACGAAACCTTGAATCCACCACTTCCTAATTCCTAATTAGCATTGTCGATAATAGCGCGCTGAAAGAAAGGGACGTTTTCAAATCGAGTGCGAATCGATTTCAGATATCATTGAAATCGATTAACGAAATTAGCTACATGCATCTTGTTTTGTGGGTCTCTGCCAAGGGCGACGTTGAAGGGGGATGCCGATGCACATGGAATCAGCTCACCTGTTCTGAGTGACCATTCTTTCCCTTCCCTTGAAATTTGTTTTATCCATAATTATGGATAATCGCGATGATGGATAATCGATCGCCTTGGATCGCTAAAAGTCCGAAGCGTTCCAAGATGGGCAGTGACAGCCCGACGCCCTTGGGAGTAGCTGAGTTTTGGTGGGTTGGAACGGGGGAGGTTATGTGGGAAACTCTTCCAGTTACTACTCTCATCTTGTTTGGCTATCGACCTGCCCCGTCCCGCCCTGAAAAATGAATTCTGACTTATGCGTTAGATGGAGGGGGAGTTAGGTACGTGACTAGAGGGGCTGATAAGCAGCGAGGCATTATGCATTGTACTAGGCATTATACTATGATATTATTGCATTTGCTTAACTTCTAGTGAAGCGGCGGCACACAATAATTCTTGGTTAGCTAGGATCGACTGTCGTGATGAAAACGAGATAAGCTGCAATGTAACATCTCTGTCATGAGTGTCGCACATTGTATGAACATGTGTGTATGTCCGGGAGACTGACGAGGCAGAACGCTTTTGAATTCGGGAAAAACTCTGGTCTATTTGAGGCATTTGGCTCCCTCACATGACTGATCTTGCTAACTAGATGGAGACAAAGCCCTCACTTGCTATGTTTTCACGTTGATGTACAGAGTGTTTTGGAGTGCAGCGAGCCACAGCGGTCGCTCTGAAGATAATTACTCCAATAGACAGCGTTCCCCTATTTATAGTCTTCTCTGATTGTGCCACCCTCTAATTGACACACATTCAACATGCGAATATTGTATCAAAATGGACCAGTGCGCAATAGCACGCATCGGTTCATGCTTCTCTTCCTCATCTATTTATCCCACATTTATACTGAATACGCGAAGTCCTTATGTCCTCACGCAGACACGAATAGCTGAGAATCGTGCACAAATCAACAACGGAAGCCATAAAATTCCTGAAATGCTTTCAGGAACATCATGACAAAATATTAGAATCTAAGGCAAGCCAACAGAACTCTCCAAAGACGATTTCTAAGAGAAACTATGGAGTCCTGAAGACAGAAAATGAAGAACACTTCGAATTCTCCAAGTCAGGCCTAATGCAACCCCACGCTCGTTATCATCCATCACTACGATTGAGTGTTAACGGTTAAAGGGTGCTAATTGTGTCGTGTCATAGGTAACCTTATGTCATCCATGGCTTCACACCGTCATTTTGTGTCAAAGCCAATCGTACGCTTACAAAAATCAATCGATTTCGCAGTTGTGAGTGCTGAGAATGGTGGTAGAATATTACTTGCAAGTCCAAAACAACGAAAAATTGACATTTCCTGGACTCCTCGCGACAGGAAAAGGGCCAATAGAAGACCAGATCTCAGGCTCTGAACCCGCCAATTGTGGGTAGTTTAGGGAAAGTTTTCCGCTGTGCCAAATCGCTATGGTTTTGTGTGGGTTTGGGCGCGGGGGTGGAGGGAATCCCGCTCATAGCTAGAGCCGCAGGGCAACTCCTCGAGAATTCGCAATGCCTCCTGGTCTCCAGGTCCTTCAGAAGCTGGGTCAGCAAAGCGGAGCTCTAAAATCTTGATCGGCAATTGTCGATCATCATCTATTTTTCAATCGAGATATGCACTTTTGGCTGATGTAGCACAGAGCTGGGGAGACATCATTTTACGTAGATCCACCTTGTCTTTCTGACTCTGATGTTGTGTCGAACGTTTGCCCTCATCTATGGATAAAAAATCGGCTATAAAGCTTAGAATCTAAACAAGGTATGTTTGTTGCGGGAAGTTTATATATTTGTGTTTCAAGGTAATTTAACGAAGTAAGCCACGTGTCAGATAGGGAAACCAATGGTGAGCACACCCATAAGAGATCACTTTTCTTAACACATAATGTCAATTGGGAACAAAGACATACATCTGATGCTAAGAAGTTCCACAATCGCCGCAAATTTTACTCAAGATACATCAAGTAATTACATCTAAGATATAACATCTTAGAGAAGAAGGGGCGCCGTCGATCAGCGGAGAGCAAATAGGGACATGTTAGGGTCCTCCCAAAAAGCGTTCCGTCCTCACAGATATTCCACAACTGTTTCAATTGGCACCCTCCAGAGCCGCCCCACCATTTTCCGTGGTTTTACGCATGTCACTTTCAACCTCTATGATCGCTGCGGCACGTGCTGGTCATCGCCCTGAATGACTGTGCGGCATCCCCACAACGTGCCAGCGCTGTAATACAACGTTACTTTATACCATCAGGTAATATTGTTGATTCATGACTGGCCGGCATTGCCGACATCGAACTGCAGCATGGGTGTTTGGAGGAGAGATAAAAGGAGACTTATCCACATACACCGATGTTAGGGTACCTTCCCGACGTACTTTCCCGACTTTGCGATGCATCGTCGAAAATCACCTGGTGCCACGCTGCATCAGCAGCGGGCATCCAAGCATAATGATCCAATCATCAGAGGGTGTCTTAGCTGGGGGTGAGGCGAAGGGCCGCCGCTTATGATGGATGCTTGAGTTGTGATCAGTCGTGCACTTGTGAATAGTCAACGCCTCAAATCTACGGCAGTCTCACATTCGCAGCTAAGTTCCAACAAGTCCTGTTGTAGTCCCGGCATGGTGAATTTCCCAGCTGACTATTATCATATTGTGATCAGCATGAGAGGCTACCAACAGCAAATGTCACATCAACTGTTTTCTTTAAGGGTGCGCGTTTGAAATAATGAAATCCCAAACGCCGCACTCCAGCGCGACCCAAAACTCCCTGGGGCCCAAAAAGCTGCTTCTTGACGAGGTAAATCCGCCCATGTCGATTCGCGCTTCCGCACACACGCGCACCGCTGTAGCTTTCTGCCTGCGGAATTGGTGTCCTTGGCTGCGAAACCGCGGCGCGACGTGCCACCCTGCATGACCCGATTCCACAGGTAAGCACAGAAAGTCGCGAATTTGCAACCTCCTGAAGGCCGAACACACATCGGGCCGATAGCCTGACCAATGCATTGGGCTCTGTAGGAGATTGCACGCCCTGATTGTGTTGGAACAGACCTAAGTGGCGTGGCCAATTGTTACCAGGCCTGTCCATGAATGGGTTGCTGGCTCGTAGTGCATCTCACCTGGCCACACCACAAAGCTTGTAACGTGGGGCATTCCCACAAGTCTGGCT